AAGAAAGAGAGGTTACCAGAGGGCAGCGGGGGAGCACCCCAGTCAGCACCAGACACGCCTGCGCGGAAGACCCACTCCTTTATGTCTCAGCAGCTCCTTGAGAAAACCCAGGAAACGGCTGCACGAGGCCTGGGGCGGAGTGTCTGTGAGGTGGGCCCACAGGACTAGGGCGCTCGGTGTAGTGACCCAGGGCAAAGAGCTCCGAGAGTTGTCTGCAGGGCCCACTGCGTAATATGTGGCGCCCAGTGAAAATGAGAACGTGGTGTCCCTGATTCAAAGAAATGAGGAAAACATGCCATTAATGATATGTAAATATAAGGTTGTTTCCTTTCTTTCACAGTCTTTCGCTCCTTCGACTTGTCACGTGTGTATGATTTGCTGCTAATGCTGTTCTAAGTAGAAGAAATTTTGAATGTGAGCTTACTAGCACAAAGTTTGCAGTAGCTCCTTATATTGTGCAATGCCAGTTTTAAATGCAACTATAAGACTATTTAACTCATATGTAGAATCACCAAAATTACACGAATTGTATTCTGTGGCTTGTGCACGCATATGTGTTTCCTTCTTAGCAGAACAGTGGAACCTTTGCACAAAACTAACTCAACTGCTTTTGTCTCACTTCTTGATTCGTGCGCATGCTGCCAGCACTCTTTAACTTCAGTCTACTGATGAATAAGAAGGGACTGAAAGGAACAAGAACTGTGTATTGTCATCATTTTCAGAGCAAATGGTTGGCTAAAACAGAAAAGCAACACGAAGGATGTAGTAGGGTATCTGACTCATCCATGTGTCTTAGAAAGCCATTGCCTTCCTTCTGTGTTTGAAGCAAGTTCTGATTCATCAGGGAAGTGTGACCTCTCAGGGCTGTTAGTGCCTCCATTTGCTCAGTCACCGTCATGACAAGCATGCTGCCCTTTTACTGGCTTCAAGTCTTGTTGAACCCCCACACATTGTGGGTCCATCGGAATTCTGTGCTCAAGGGGCATGGCCGATGCTGTGGACAGAACGCACTGGCAAAGAATGGTGGACACACATGTGGGACATATCTCATCTGCTCACACTGAGGCTCCTTAGTCCCATTGTACTTCGCTTTCAAAACACAAAGTCAAAGACAAAATTAAGAATTTTAAGACAATAGGGGCGCCTGGGTGACTCGTTTGAGTGTCTGACTCTTGATTTCAGCTCAGGTCATGATCCTGTGGTTGTGGGATTGAGCCCTGCGTCAGGCACCACACTGAGCACAGAGCCTGCTTAAGATACTCTATCTCTTTCCCTCTGCCCCTATCCTCCTGCCCCCATGCTCTCTCTTTCTCAATAATAATAATAATAATAATAATAATAATAAATTGTAAAAGAATGGTGAAAGAAAGAATTTTAGGGGCACCTGGGTGGCTCAGTTGGTTAGGTGTCTGACTCTTGATCTCAGCTCAGGTCAGGATCTCACGGTTCGTGAAATTGAGCCCTGCTTTGGGTGCTGCACAGACAGCATGGAGCCTGCTTGGGATTCTCTCTCTCCCTCTCTCCCTCTCTCCCTCTCTCCCACCCCCTGCCCCTGCTAGTGCCCACTTGCTCTCCGTCTTTCTCTCTCTAAATAAATAAATAAACTTAAAATAAAAAAGAATTGTAGGACAACAAAAGCAGATCATTGAACCAAGCATGTGGCCCTGTTGATTGGGGGACCTGCTGTGACTGCACAGATCACACAGCCATGAAGCGAGCCTGGTTGTCTGGCATCATTTCAATAGATATTCTTAAAATTTTTAGTTTTTACCAAGTGAGAAACTGGCCAGGAGTAGCATGCATACGTGCCTTCTTTCATTCATAAATCTTTTAGGTATCTGCCACATGACAGTCACTGTATGAGGCATTGGGACTTCACCAGAATGAACAAGGCAAGATATGGCCTCAGTGTCAGTAGTATATGTGATCTAGTGAGAAAAACGTACTTTTAATTACACAATAAATATTTAAGCTATAGTTGTGATATGAGTTACAAACTGAACTATAGGCATGAGTATACTTGGGTGGCTCAGTCAGTTAAGCGCCCGAGTTCTGCTCAGGTGATGATCTCGCAGTCTGTGGGTTCAAGCCCTGCGTCGGGCTCTGTGCTGACAGCTCAGAGCCTGGAGCCTGCTTCAGATTCTGTGTCTCCCTCTCTCTCTCTGCTCCCCTGCTCACACTCTGTCTCTTTCTCAAAAATGAATAAACATTTTAAAAATTAAAAAAAAAAGATGCAATTTTGAAACACCATGATACTATTTTTCACTTACTGGATTAGCAAAGGTAAGAGTTTACAGTACATAGCACTGAGGAGAATATGGGGAAACAGGTATTTTCACAGTGTTAGGTAAAAATGTAGGTTGTTGCAACCTCTCTGGCCACATCTATCAAAATTTTATGTGTGCATGAACTCTTGACCCAGAGATTCCATTTCTAGATATTTGTCCTATAAATATACTTGTTCATGTCTGCAAAGACTTAAGTAGCAGAGTCTTTATTGCATCAATATTTGTAATAGCAAAAGAGTTTTTTAAATGAGTTTAATTGGGAGTGTGTATAAATAAGTTGTGTGACATTCATCCTATACAGCCAATTATACAAAAGATCTTCAAAGTATATTAAGTCACCAGGTATCATGGCACATAACAGCGTAGAATATAATTCTGTGCTTTTATTTTTTTTTTAATTTTTTAATGTTTATTTATTTTTGAGAGACAGAGAGACAGAGTGTGAGCGGGGGAGGGGCAGAGAGAGAGGGAGACACAGAATCGGAAACAGGCTCCAGGCTCTGAGCTGTCAGCCCAGAGCCTGACGCGGGGCTCGAACTCACGGACCGCGAGATCGTGACCTGGCTGAAGTCGGACGCTTAACCGACTGCGCCACCCAGGCGCCCCAATTCTGTGCTTTTAAAAAGGGATGGGGAGAAGGACCTGGATGGCTCAGTCAGTTAAGTGCCCAACTTCAGCTCAGGTCATGATCTCATGATCCCTGGGTTTGAGCCCCAGTTGGGCTCTGTGCTGACAGCTCAGAGCCTGGAACCTGCTTCAGATTCTTTGTCTCCCTCTTTCTCCCTGCTCCTCCCCTGCTCATGCTCTGTCTTGCTGTCTCTCAATAAATAATTAATAAATGAATGAATGAATGAATGAATGGAGGGGGGAAACATATATGCTTGTAAACACCTAGCACATTTCTCAGAATTAAGTATGATATTCTCTGAGAAAGAAAACTAAGAGTCTGGAGTACAAGAGAGACTAATATTTTTCATACATAATTTTTTGTATTGTATTACCTTTTCTTTTTTTTTCTTAAAGTTTATTTATTTATTTTTTTTTTTTTTGAGAGAGAGAGAGAGAGAGAGAGAGAAACAGAGTGTGAATAGGGGAGGGGCAGAGAGAAAGGGCAACACTGAATCCAAAGCAGGCTCCAGGCTCTGAGCTATCAGCACAGAGCCTGATGCCAGCCTCAAACCCATGGACTGTGAGGTCATGACCTAAGCTGAAGTCGGGCTCTTAACTGACTGAGCCACCCAGGTGCCCCTTACCTTTTCAGTAAAAATAAATAAGAACACAGGTTCTGGATGTTTAGAATCTGGCTCCACCATTTTTTTTAGCTGAGTAATCTTGGGAGGTTACTTACCCCTCTAATCTTCTATGTTCTCATCTGTAAAACGAGGCTAATAACTTTCCTTTATATGACCAGCATAAAAATTAGATAACATATGAAAAATACCTAGTACAGTACGTGATCCAAAAATAGTAGCTTTTGAGGCACTGAGCCCAGACCAGAAGTAATTTCACAAGTAGTCGCAGACAAGTCATGTGACCCCCTGTGACCTAGTGTCTTCAGTCCCCTAGTTTGACCACTTGATCCCTAAGGCCTCTTAGGGGCAGAGAGAAAGAGAGAGAGAATCTCAAGCAGGCTTCACCCTCAGCATGGAGCCGGACATGGGCTTGATCCGACAACCCTAGGATCATGAACTGAGCTGAAATCAAGAGTGGGATACTGAACTGATTGAGCAACCCATGCACCCCTGAAACCTGTTTCTTTCTAGAAGCTCTAACTGCAAAGCCAGAAAGATTTTGAAGGAAATTAGGAGCTCCTGGGAGTAGGTGCTTTGGCACCCTCCCAATTCCGTGTCAGAGCATAAGATGAGAACATGGGACGTGAGGACTGGGTGTGGCTCTGTCTACACAGCCCTCTCGTCTCCTGTTACAGGGTTGCAATTGAAAACCAAATTATAGTGACTTAGGAAGGGCATGGAGATGGAACTGTGGTGGAAAAATTTTTTTAATGTTTATTTATTTTTGAGAGAGAGAGAGAGAATGTGGGTGAGAGCATGCAAGCAGGGGAGGAGCAGGGATTGAGGGAGACAACAGAATCTAAAACAGGCTCCAGGCCCTGAGCTGTCAGCACAGAGCCTGACACGGGGCTCAAACCCACAAACGAGAGATCATGACTTGACCCCAAGTCGGATGCTTAACCAACTGGGCCACCCAGGTGCCCCTGTGGTAGAAAAGTTTTAAAGTAGTGGCAAGGAAAGGCATGCTTGTTGAAGAGAGAGCCTTCTGGGTTTCATATGATAGATGTCTGCAGATGGGTGTCAGCAGAGGGCTTTGTGGGACCTAGAGAGGAAGATGCTGGTAATTGTGCTCTAGGAGTAACCATGTCTGGGCACTATTCCCTGTCTGTGGTTCTAAGGTTTTCGCTATGCTTTGGGACTGAAGGAAGGGGTCTGGGATCTATACTTTGGCCTGGAGATATTGGGGAGTAGCAGCCCCCAAGGCCAGTGTAGTGAGGTGTCAGGGGTCATGAGAAACCCCAGAGGAAGCCTATCTCAGTACAGCTGCTCCTCCTTCCGTCTGAGAAGGCCATGCATTATCTTCTTAAGGGAGCCTGCAAGTTTTCTCACAGAACTTCTCAGACAGGAGAAGGCAAATAGGTCTTTGTGAGCAATTTTGGAACAGTAGACAGATAGTCATGACACTGTCTCTCTCATACAGGTGCTGAGGGATGTCCTTAAGGATCTCTACCACCTGCTGAAACACGTGGTGCGTTTGGAGCCCGATGATGTGGCCAAGCTCCACGCCCAGCTGGCCCTTGAAGAGCTGGATGAGATCATGAGAAACTTCCTCTTCCCACCACAGAAGCTGGAGAAAAAGATTGTGGTCCTGCCCTAGACCTGGCTCTAAGGACATCAAGGAGGTAGAGGACCAAGAGCAGTGCCCAGTCCTTCCAGCAGGTGGCCCCACTGCCTCTTTGGTGCTGGCAATATGGCTGACCCTGGATGGCTTTGTGTGTCTGGTCATTTGTGCCTTCAGGCTGACCTTCCTAAAGCATCTTTATAGCATCCTGCATCCAGCCTGAAGCATGTGTCATTAGAAGACAAAAGATTACAAATCTCATTTATCTGCACATTTTTCACTGGCCTGGAGCATTTAGAGAAGGAAGTCTACTTGATGGAAATATATATATATATATATAT